GGGTCCATGTGATGTTGCCATTCACGTATACATTGTGTAATGTCCAAATTAGGGTAGACGTCTATCTCTTCAAACATTTATCATTTCAAAGTTCTTTCTTGTGGCTTTCTGAAATACATAGTACATTATCTGTAGTCACTCTGTTGGGCAACAGCTCACCAGAACCTTTTCTAACTGTGATCAACAGCTCTTCCCCTGCCCCTCCCATATGAGTGAGATCATGTGGTCATTAGCCATACATGTCACTGAAAATGACAGGATTTCATCCTTTCTCATGGTAGAATAATATCACGGTTTCTTTATCCATTCATCAGTTTTGGACACATAGATCATTTCCATTTCTTGACGATTGTGAATTCAGCTGCAATGAACATGAATGTACAGATGTCTCTTTGACAAACTGGTTTCCTTTCTCTTGAATATATACACACTAGTGGCATTAGGCATGGTAGTTTTATTTTTAATATTTTGAGGACCCTCCACATTGTTTTCCATTATGGCCACACTAACTTACATTCCTGCCAATAGCGTGCAAGGGTTCCATTTTCTCCATATCCTTTCCAGCATCTTTGTTTTTCTGTCTTTGTGATATTAGTCATTTTTACCAGGGTGAGGTTATATCTCATTGTTGTTTTGATTTGCATTTTCCTGATAATTAGTGATTTGAACATTTTTCCATGTATGTGTTTGCCATTTGTATATCTTCTTTTGAGAAATATCTGTTTAGGTCTTTTGTCCATTTTAATTGAGTTATTTGCCTTTTGCAATTGAGTTTTTTAATTTCTTATATATTCTGAATATTAATCCCTTGTCAGAGGGGTTAAAAGTTTACAATATTTTCTCTCATTGTATGGGCTGTCTCTTCACTCGGTTGATTGTTTCTCCTTTCTGTACAAAAGCTTTTTAGTTTGATGTGATCACATTTGTCTATTTTTGTTCTCATTTCTTGTGCTTTTGGGGGTCTGTCTAAAAAAATCCTGAGTATTGTAATGTCTTAAAGAATTTCCCTATGTTTTCTTCTAGTAGTTTCACAGTTTCATTTCTTATGGTTGCCTTTAAGCCACTTTGAGCTTATTTTTGTAAGTAGTGAAAGACAGGAATCTAGTCTCATTTTCCTGAATGTGGATACCCAATTTTCTCAGCACCATTGATTGAAAAGTCCCTCTTTCTTCAATGTGTGTTCTTAGCAGCTTTGTTGAAATCAGTTGACTCTAGACACATGGGTTTACTTCTAGGCTCTATATTCTTTTCTTTCCTGTCTGTTTTTATGCCAACACCAAGCTGTTTTGATGATTAGAGTTTATAGTATATTTTGAAGTCATGTAGTATAGTGTTTTCTGCTTTGTTCTTTTTTCTCAAGATTGCTTTGGCTATTCTGTGTTTTTTTTCCACTGGTACTGGAGTTTGAACTCAGGGCTTCATGCTTGCTAGACAGGTGTTCTACCACTTGAGCCACTTCACCAGCCCTTTTCTGTGTTAGGTGTTTTTGAGATAGGTTCTTGTGAAGATTGCCTGGGCTATCTTCAAACTGTGATCCTCCTCATCTCTGACTCCTGAGTAGCTTGGATTACAAGCGTGAACCACGTGCACCCAGTATCTTTGTGTTAGCTTGTATGTGTGTGGTTTCATAAATATCTTAGGAGTCTTTACTAGCTCTGTAAGGAATGTTTTTGGTATTTTAATAGAAATTACATTGAATGTATAGATGTCTTTGAGTAGCATAGATTATGTCTTTTAAAATTTTTGGATTATTTATTTTTACTGTAGAGTTTGGGAGCTTTATTATAATCTAGATACAAATTATTTATAGGCTATGTGATTTACAAATATTTGTTCCTAGTTTATGGCTTGTCTTTTTATTTATAACATTATCTCAAAGAACAAAATTCTTAATTATTGGTCAATTTTAAGTTATCTTTTTTTAAATTTATGAGTCATACTTTTGGTGTCATATATAATAATTTTTTGTCTAACTCAAGCTTATAAATACTTTCTTCTTTATTTTCTTTTAGAAGTGTTATAGTTTTATATTTAGTTCATTTTTTGTATAAAAATAGCCAAATATTCCATCCCTATTCAGTAAAACCACTATTCTTGAGCTGAGCATGGTGGCACATGCCTAAGGAGGCTAAGACAGGAGGACCATGAGTTTGCAGCCACCCTAGGCTACCTAGTGAGTTCTAGGTGAGCGTGGGCTACATAGTGAGACCCTGTCTCAAAAAACAAAACCTATTATTCTTTTTCCCATTGGATTGCCATTGCACTTTTGTCAAAATCATATTGCCCACATATTTGTGGGTCTATATTTTTGCTCTCTATTCTGTTATTTGATCCATATGTCTGTACTTTCTTGAATGCCACACTTTTTTTTGTCAGTACTAGGGTTCGAACTCAGGACTTTGTGCTTGCCAGGCAGGTGCTCTATTGCTTGAGCCATGCCTCCAGCCCTGACAAGCATGCTCACCATGCCCAGCTATTGGTTAAGATGGAGTTCTACAAACCCCGTGGCCTGGAATTTCGATCCCGTCTAGTAGCTGGGATTACAGAAATGAGCCAGTTGTGCTCAGCTCTTAATTTTGGTACTGTTGCAGAAATTTTTTTCTTTTTAAAAAATTAATTGTATTTTTTATTTATCACACATTAATTATATGAGGAGATTTCATTGTGATAATCCCATACATGAGTACAGTATGCCTTGAACAAGTTCACCCTCTCTTGTTACAATAATGTTAAAATTAGGTAGTGATTTTTTTTTTAATGGGAAGATCTTTGCCTTCCCATCCAAATTTTAGAGACAGCTTATTGATTCCAATTTTGAAATCCTGTTGGGATTTTTATTGGATTTGCTTTGAATTTATCTTGACAACATTGAGAGTTCCAATCTATGATCATGGTATATTTCTCTATTTACTTAGGTGTTCTTTGATTTATTTCATCAGTATAGTTTTCAGCATACATGTCTTGCATATATTTTCTTTGATGTTACCTAAGTATATCATATACCTAAGCTTTGGTGATGGTGTAAATGGTATTGTGTTTATTTCAGTTTCTAATTATTTATTGCCAATATATAAAAATATAGTTGATTTTTTGCACATTGACCTTATATTCTGAAACTTTTTTACTTGCTTTTTCATAGATTTTTAGGGAGATTTTCTACATAGACAATCATGTCTGTAAATAATGATTTTGTTTCTTTATTTTCAAACTGTGTGCCTTTCCCCTCTCCTACCTTGTCTTATTTCACTGGCTAGGACCTCCAGTATAATTTAAAGTATGACTAGGGAAAGTAGGTATCTTGGTCTTATTCTTAATGTTAGGGTGAAAGCCTTCAGTCATTCACTACTGATTATAAAGTTAATAGTAGCTTTTTCATAGATCCTATTGCCAGGTTGAGGGATTTTCCCTCTATTCTCAGTTTGCTGAGAGTTTCTATCATAAACAGATGTTAAATTGTATCACATGTTTTTTCTGCATCTGTAGAAATGTTCATATAATTTTCTTCTTTAGTCCACTGATGAATTGTATTGATTTTCAGATGCCAAACCAACTTTTCATTACCTGGATAAACCTTACTTGATCATGATACACTATTTTTTTATTTGTTAGTATTTTGTTGGAGAATTTTGCAGCTATGTTCATGAGTAATATTGGTTGTAGCTTTCTTTTCTTACATTTGTTTGGTTTGGGTATCAGTGCAAAACCAGCCTCATAAAATGATTGAAAGTGTTATATTTGATGGGGAGGTGACAAGGAAAAGGGTAGGAGGGTGAATACAGAGCAAAAACGTGTACACATGTATGTAAATGATAAAAAATGATACCTGTTGAAGTATTCCAGGAATTGGGGAGGGGAGGATAAAGGAGAGCTGTGGAGGGGGTGAACTCAAGTTTGATATATTTGAAAAATTGTAAGAACTTTTGCAAATGCCACAATTTACCTCTACCCAGCACAACAATAAAGGAAAAAAATAAAAAAAGAGTTACCTCCTGTTCTATTTTCTTGAAGTTTATTTAAGATTGATATTACTTCTCCTTTAAATGTTTGATAGAATGTGCCAATGACTTTATTTGGCCCTGTTAGAATATTACATATTATATAATTTAAGCTTCCTTATTAGATATAGTGCTATTTGGGTTGTTGCTTCTTGAGTGATATTTGGCAGTTTGTTCATATCTTTTAAGTTATAGAGTTTATGGACACAGCATTATTTATATATAATATTTCTTTATTATTCTTTCTTGTGTTTGTAAGGTCTTGGTGATGTTCTCTCTTCCCCATACCCGTAATTTGTGTTTTTAATTTTTTCTTGATCTGTCTAGAGATTTGTATAACAAATTAGTCTAAAACTCAGTGGCCTAAGACAGAAAACACTTATTATCTCAGTTTCTCTGGGTCAGTAGTCTGGGAATAGCTTAGTTAATTGGTTCTGATTCGGCATCTCTCATGAGGCTGCAGTCAAGTTAGCTGGACCTGCAGTTGTCAAAGGCTTCACTGGAGCCAGAGGATCTGTTTTCAAGTTCACTCATGTGGCTGTTGACTGAATGCTTCAGTTCCTCATTATACAGGTATAGCACAGGAGCTGGCTCCACCCAGAGTGACTAATCTAAGAGGAGAGAATAAAGGGTCTAAGAAGCCATATCTTTTGTAGTCTAATTTTGCAAATGGAATGCTGTTACTTCTGCCATATAATAGTGGTCTCATATAGCATAGAAAGAGACTATAAAGGTTATGAATATCAGAAAACGGGGGTACTAGGGGTATCATAGAAGCTGGCCACTACAAGCTTTGCCAATTTTATTGATATGTTCAAAGACCCAACTCTGGATTTCTTTGCTTTTTCTTTATTTTGTTTCCATTTTTGCTTTTATGAATTTCTGCTCTTTACCATTTCCTTACTTATACTTACTCTGTGTTTCTTTGCTCTTATTTTTCTTTCTTCTTTGTTGACTCATAAAATTTAAAAAAAAATTTTTGCAGATAGATAAATCTTACTGAGAAGATGTATACGATCTCTTTCCTGGGACATTCCAAACAATTGAACTGTTTGCAGATCACCAAGGAACATGGCTACTACACTGTCATGTGTCTGACCACATCCATGCTGGCATGGAGACAACCTACACAGTACTCCGGAACATAGGTACTATTGTCTGTCAGTGATGCCAGATGCTGGTACCAAGCTTCCTGTACACCTGGAAGTCAGGAGGCATAAGAAAAACACAGATTCACTCCACAAGGAGCTCATAGTAAAGTAAGAGAGTCAGCTACGTAAATACGTAACCATAATGGAGTGTGATATGTGCTGTAACAGAGTGAAGAGGACCAGGTCCAGTGGCAGTGGCAGGAGGGCATGGTATATGAACCATTTTAGATCCCATGATGCTCAGGATAGAGGTCAGTGGGTAAGCAGAAGCTAGAGGTGGAGGAGTACAAATGCATGTGTACTGGTATGAAGTAGCCCAGTGAGAATCCAAGAAAGAGGAGAGATGTTGGTGAGGCAAAATCCTCATTGGTAAAAAGACGTGACTTATGGCATGAAAAGAATCTCCTACCCTTATCTGTAATACAATCAACTTACCTTTTTTTTTTTGGTCCAGACAACAGGATTCCATACTCCACTAAGTCTCCTTCTGGAGGAGTATCCCACCCAACCATGGTGCCCTCCAATGGTAATGATATCCTCTCCTGTGTCTGTGTGTGGATGCTTCAATGTTCACTCCCCAGGGAGAAGCAGGTGCCTGATGCCTCACTTTTCTTTTTTCACAGAACAACCTGGCAAAGAGGAGCTCTATTTCTTTGGCAAGAATCTGGGCCCAACAAGTGAAGTAAACAGAACTTTCTCAAAAGAAGAAATTCAAATGGCCAGAAAACACATGAAAAAATGCTCACCATCTCTAGCAATAAAGGAAATGCAAATTAAAACCACACTAAGATTCCACCTTACCCCTGTTAGAATAGCCATCATCAGCAACACCACCAACAACAGGTGTTGGCGAGCATGCGGGGAAAAAGGAACCCTCTCACACTGTTGGTGGGAATGTAGACTAGTACAACCACTCTGGAAAAATATTTGGAGGCTACTTAAAAAGCTAGACATGAATCTACCATTTGATCCAGTAATACCACTCTTGGGGATATAACCAAAAGACTGTGACACAGGTTACTCCAGAGGCACCTGCACATCCATGTTTATTGCGGCACTATTCACAATAGCCAAGTTATGGAAACAGCCAAGATGCCATACCACTGATGAATGGATTAAGAAAATGTGGTATCCATACACAATGAAATTTTATGCAGCCATGAAGAAGAACGAAATGCTATCATTCGCTGGTTAATGGATGGAATTGGAGAACATCGTTCTGAGTGAGGTTAGCCTGGCCCAAAAGACCAAAAATCATATGTTCTCCCTCATATGTGGACATTAGATCAAGGGCAAACACAACAAGGGGATTGGACTATGAGCACATAATAAAAGCGAGAGCACACAAGGGAGGGGTGAGGATAGGTAAGACACCTAAAAAACTAGCTAGCATTTGTTGCCCTTAACGCAGAGAAACTAAAGCAGATACCTTAAAAGCAACTGAGGCCAAAAGGAAAAGGGGAACAGGTACTAGAGAAAAGGTTAGATAAAAAAAAAATTAACCTAGAAGGTAACACCCACGCACAGGAAATCAATGTGAGTCAATGCCCTGTATAGCTATCCTTATCTCAACCAGCAAAAACCCTTGTTCCTTCCTATTATTGCTTATACTCTCTCTACAACAAAATTAGAAATAAGGGCAAAATAGTTTCTGCTGGATATTGGGGTGGGGGGAGAGGGAGGGGGCGGAGTGGGTGGTAAGGTTGGGGGTGGGGGCTGGGGGGAGAAATGAACCAAGCCTGTATGCACATATGAATAATAAAAGAAAAAAAAAAAAAAAAAGAATCTGGGCCCAAGAGGAGCCGAGGCAGCCTTGGTCACTCTCTTCATCATTGAACTTCTGTTCCTGATTGCCACTATGATTCTGTCCCTCAGACTCCGCTCTGCAAGGAGGCAGATGGCTTACCGAGAAGTCCAGTCCTGTGCACTCCCCACGGATGCTCTGTGAACTCTCTGGCCTTTCTTGGCGGCAACTGTGAGGTTCCACAGCTGGCTAGATGGTGGGCCAACTAGAAAAATGGACCAAAGCATTGTTCACCAAGGAAGGTTTATACTGTATCCTGGATCAGGCTTCTGATCCTCTGTAGCATCATCCAAAGCAATTTGCTTTCATTTATTTATTTTTAAATGGGCTGTGAATAATCCTCAGGTATAAAATATACAGAAAAAGGAGAATGCACAGGACTGAGAAATGCCTATCCTTAGTCTGTTCTCTGAACAAATTTGCTTAAGTGGGAAACCCCCTGAAAGATATTTCATATTTCATCTTTCATAACTTTAGATTAAAGTGTTTTCTTTGCTAACCATCAGTTTCTAGATGAACAACTTCTAGTTATAATGACTCAGATGTCTATCTAATTAGAGTAACATTAATTTTTTTTTATCACAGTTTCTTGAAATGTTTCCCTTAGTCATTCCAGGGAAAATAAGTTTCTAAAGAGTTCATGGAAATGTCTTAAATCAGTATCTAGTGAAAGAATTAGATCAAATGAATTTTTGGAGGCTTTAACCACCTCTCCTGGCCTCTTCCCTTTTACTGTAAATAGCCTGTGCACTGTTTATTATACAAGGCAAAGTTATAAGGGTTTTTTTTAATTGCTGCTGTTTTTATTCAAAACTGTAGAAATACTTGAATGTTTACAATTCACTTCATGTTATATGTTTTTACACTGTTTCCATAGCAATATCTGTACTTTCAAAAATTAACTAGAGAATTTATATTTCTATTTCAGATTTTGGGAGGGCTAGAATCTGTGAAGGAGCAGGCTTGGTTTTCCCACTGTGAGTTAGAGACCTGAGGGTTTCCTGCAAGGTCTCAGTAAGGGGTAGAACTTCAAGTCTGGGCTTGAATCTTGAGTCTGATTTTTCACTGAGTTAGGGGGAATCTTCCCAGGTCTCCATCTTCTATGAAATAAGAATAGTGTCATCATGTCAGGAACATGAGGAGGAATTCACCAATGCAGCTGACTGGTTGAGAGAAGAAGGCTTTCCAAAAAGCCCAAATTCCCTGACTCTTAAAGCCATATCGCTTGAGGGGAGGAGAAAAAAAGGAAAGTTTAGAAAAAGAGTCTCAGTGGTAATTTTTAAACCATTAAATCAACTTTGAAGATAAGTATTAAAATTTCCAAGACTCACATGCAAAAATAAAATATTGAATAACTAAATTCAACCATTGTGAGGTAATGCACCCTCTTTGTAGGCATGTCTAGACATTAGGTGCAAGATTGATAAAAGTAAAGTTGTTTATTACTAGACTGAGAAATTGCCCTTAGCTCAGGGCAAGCTGCTGATGCCAGAAGAGTGATATTAGAACATCTGCCTTAACTTAGTGACATCTGTAACAGTGGATCATTTGAGTGTCCAGGTGAACGAGTACAACCTAATAAATACTCTGGTGGTGGAAACTTTTATACTTTCTCATCTTTTTAGTGAGGGGAAATGGGTAATCTACTAGAATCTATAGCCTTACATAAAACAGGATGAAAATGCTAATGAGTCTGTTTGTAGTTTGCTTGAATGTTGTATCAAATAGGATACCCAAAAGATTTTTTTACCCAAAAGATTTTGAATTTCAGCCTGCTAACCACTGTGCTTTTGTAGTACAAGCTCTACAGTTTTCAACATGTGTAGGTTGTACAATTATATAATAATAATAATTATGGTAAATGCCTTATTTATTACTCACCTTTACTATGACAACAAATCATTTAGTTATGTTTTTTCTGTTTCACTTGGTTTATTTTTTTAATGGAAAGAAAAGTAGTTTTATCGCACCATTTCTCTTTTTCATGAAGTTTCACATATTAGAAGATGGCTATTTGGATTTTTTTCACTCAAAATTATCTGCCATTAAATGGGGAAAGTGATGGTTAAAAAATGTATTGTCTTTTAGGTATTTAATCACAATGACTAGAGAAAATGGAAAAAATAATGTATCTCTACAAATAATTTAACCCCTCAAACATTGTCTCCTCAAACACACAATCTTCCTTTATTCTCAGCTTCGCTCTTTTGGGACAAGTAGCCCCTCCTTTCATCAACACATGTCTTTTTCTTCTCTTACAATGAAAGAAGTGCCCTTGCTCCTTGCATGGCCAGGTTCTCTGCTTCCTGTTTTCTCAGACTTAATTCCCCCAATTATAAGTTTTTCCTTCTATACTACTCTATGAAATCATCAACAATGTTTTCCACTAAAAAATGGAAAGCAAAGAGCTTTCCATCTTTTTATTACTCAACCTCTCAGCAACAACTGTCAGTTTCTTCCCTCTGGACACCTCTGTAGTCCCCTGGCTCTGTGAGCTTCCTTCTTCCTCAATTTCTATTTCTTCTCAATCTCCTTTGCTAGGCATTCTCTGTCAGAACTTGATATTGGGACCTTTTCAAATACTTTGTCTTTTAAAGTAGATGGAGTAATGTTCCCAAAGATTATATATCCTAATTCTGAAACCTGTGTTGCTATCTTATATTGCAAAAAGGATTTCATAGTTATTAATTAATTTAAGGATCTTGTGATGGGGACTTTATCCTGGATTATCCAGATTGTCTTTAAATGTAATCATAACATCCCCTATAAAAGAGAGGCAGATGGAGATTCTATGATAGAAGAGGCAGTGTAACAACTGAAGCAGGAACGTGATGTATAAAGAGCTAGAGAAACAGAAGAGGCCTGGGAACAGGTTCTCTTCTAGAGCCTCCAGAGGGAGTTTGGCCTGGAACTGATTTCAAACTTTGGAGTTCCAGAGCTGTAAGAGAGTAAATGTATTCTGCTTCCTCGCTGTCACTCTTGCCTCTTCCAACCACTGCCCACACAGCTACTGCAGTGCTTTTCTGAATATGATCAGATCACTCTCCTAATTCGTGCATTTCTACTTTACTTTTAATAACCCCCAGACCCTTTTCTTTGTTGGCAAGGCCCAGGCTGATTTGACTCATGCTCACCAGTCTCACATCTTGGATTTTCTTCTGCTTCATTATTAATTCCTGTATCTTGGTAGATCTTTTCTAACAGAGATCTCAGAGCTTTGCCTTTGGCACTCTCCTTTCTATGCCTTAAATTCCCTCCCTTTTCATCCTCTTCAGCATCCCCATCCCTTTTCTAACTTTTCTAGTTCAGATGTGAGCTCCTCAAGCTGCCTGCTCCAAAGTGGGTCCCTTCTTTTATTTCCCCCCAACGCTGGTTTCCTTTGTAGCACTTATCATAGGAATAATCACTTTAGATGTCTGTTAGCTTGATTTTTGTCTGCCTCTTTAAATGGAAATTAGGTTCTGTGAAAACAACAACTTTGACCTGTTTTGCTCACTGCTGCATGCCATTAAGACTGTAGTACAGATAGATAGTGACTGATCAGCAAATATTTCTCAAATGAATATTAAACAGAACAGTCTAGTGAGCTTGATTATTTTGACTTTGACTACTTTGGTTGCAAAATATCTCATTCAAATGTCAAGGACCTCAAACAAGCAAAACAGAATTCTGGGAGAGTGGCTGTGAGTCCCAGAACTCATCATGGCCTCCTTCTAACATTAAACTATGGCAAGGGGTAGGGGCAAGGCTGAAATGGGAGGAGAATGTGTAATTTAATCCCTAATTGCACCTTATAATGGTAAAAAGCAATGTCATCATCAAAAACAAAATCTGAGAAACATCGTAGCCAAGATG